TATATATATGTGTACTATTTACATGTAATTGACAATGCATATATGTACGTACATTGATTTTTGGCTGCTTGATCCATCTTTTAATAAAACACATGCTATAATTCATTCTCTGGTTGGTCGATTTCATGGCCGTGCATAACAACTTGTCTTCTGTACCTATAATGCAGCTGTCTAATTAATTAAAGACAAAAATCTTTTACCTTGCGAGTGGTCAATATAACGTAATTTTGATATTTTTCTAAAAGTGTAAGTTATAAACATAGTTAGGTAAATCCTTTATGGTTTCAATTGAACCCGTAGCTATAATGTTACTGACGACTCTATGTTTTAGTAGGTATACTCTTAGTGATTTTTGAAGTTTGTGGGCCTGACTGCGGAGTTGGAGGACACACTAAGAAACTCTAGAGGGTTTTTCACATAAAATTTTATGTTCTTTCAAATGTTTATAATACTTTCATAAATTATTACTTAAAACTCTAGAGGATTTTCCACGTAAAATTGTGTGTTCTTTCAAATGTTCATTATTACTTGTTACTTATTCAAACAACAAATATGTAGTCAGTCATCACGCGTATAAATATTTCATTTAGATAGGTGTATTATAACTGCTTTTTTTGGCACATGAGAAACTTTTAAGTTTATAATGCAACGGAGTAATTAAATTACATGCATCCTCACGATGGAGAAATCTCTAGGGGAAGTTACAAGAAGCTCTTGGAAATTCCACTTGAACTTGTACAACTAGAATCATTGTCGGTATATAATTAACGGCAATAGCTTAATTCCCACTAAATACATATTTTTGATGGCCAGCAATTAACACTCTTTGTAAATGTCTATAAAGCTTATAGCGACATTAGATTTAATGTCGATTAACTTATGTCCGTATATGTTTTAGCGCTTTTTTTTAAGTATATATTTATTGCCACTAAAGTTATTTTTGTTATCGTGAATTTGAAAAGTAACCAACTCTAGTACTCCACCATGTAATTCTAATTTCTAACTACCCTAAATCTTCAACGGTTGTCATTAATAAAGACTACTCTTTGATATGATTTGCCAAGTGTACAGTGTCCTTGCCACAAAAAGGCAATGACGCTTTTTCAAAACATAGAATAATAATTAAAAATTTAACTACTTTTGTACTCCGACCCCATCTGTATAACTTTCATAGCTACGGATATAATTTAGCTCGGGATTTAAATTTAATGAATTCAATATACCGTTATTAATTACCACTAATCTCAATATGTTCCAAAATTTAATACTCACGTATATATTGATACTCTGTCCAAAATATTAGATTCAGAATTCTGATATGAAATACTATATATGTGTGTATAGAGACACATACTTTGAAAATTGTGTTTATGAATGTTTGATTATTATTTTTTCTCTTTGTTTTGTGATGTTGAATATTGTAAAAAACATAATGAAGGAAGGGAACGTGAAATGTTTATGGGTAGTGGGCTCTGTAAAAAACTTTAGTTTATATAATGATGAAGAGTCAATAAAATAGTATTATGAGTCACGTGGTTTGAGTCAGTTTTATTTGTGAAGAGCGTCTGCTCCAAGTGGGTAAAAGCCCTGTACTAAATGGGCCCATTTTACTCAACTATTTACCCACCGACAACACGTTGATGGGCCCGGATTATAGGTTGCACGTTAAATCTGGGTCGGGTCCGGTCATTTTTTCTTCAAACCGACCCCTACTTTTCCCACAAAATGGATCTTGCCAACTTGTCATATGATCAAAATTGAGATTTGTGCAAAAATAGTACCCCCTCTACTCTAATCACATAGTTAAAAGAGAAAGAAGGGTAGATCAAATGTTAAAATGCCGGAAAATCTCAATAGCTCAGTTGGTTGATTATTTCAATTTTGATTTGATATTCCCTAGCTTGTAATTCACTTGTAATAGATCAGTGGTTGACGACGAATTGATTTCCTAGATTGTAATTCATACAAAAGTATCGACATTAAATGATATGTACTTGTGCATGATCATACACAACGTAAGAATCACACTTTGAAAAGATGGATAATTAGTTAGAAAATATTGGGTGCAAATTTTATAATACAATCACATTTATGTTCGAGGATCAATCAAGATAATTCTCATTGCAATAATGTCATTATTTATTGATCAACATTAAAGACATTCGAAATTTCATTTATGATAACTAGATGGAGAGAGTATATTTAGCTTATTAATTTCCATTTTTAATAAAATAAGTGAAATGATGCTACAAATTAGCTCAACCTAAATGGAATATTAGAGTTTGATGACCAACAAGTAATTAAAAGTCATTATAATTAACTTTTAAATAATCATGTAAAACTTGAGCAAGTTATTGAGACCTTTGTCTAACTATTAAAGTCTCAACAACCTTAAAATCACAAACTCAAATTATTGTAACATAAATAAGGTACTTAATACTCTCAAATCGTTAAAATTATATCAATCAAAAGTTGTTTCATGAAAAAGAAATTGAGTACTTTTGTTCACATACTCAACAGACAAGATATCTAATATTCTCAAATAGTTAAAATTACATAATATATTTGTATATCAGGATCTACAATTTGATTTAAAAAAAAATAAAAAATAGAAAGAAAAGTGAACATTTTGAAAAAGACATGAAAAAGAACACTTCATGATTTATTAGTCTAGCTCTAGCAACTTTTGATTGAGATCTTATTAATTTACAATATTAGATGCATGTAATAATATACGATATATGTCTCAACGTACTATAAAGATGAACTCATGATTGTATCATAAATACATCACCCTTTTGGGGTTGACCTATAAATTTAAATACAAAAAAAGAAATATTATTTGAGAGTCTACATAGCCAATTGCCGAAAGCACACAAATATTGCACGCCTAAATTCGTTAATTAAAAGATTACCTTAGAAAAGAAGGAAAAGGTAGACAAAAAAACAGGAGAATGTTTTTCTGTTCTTTTTTGTCTTATAGACATATTGGCCCTTCAAATATGGAATGCTATGTTATAATATGATTCTAGTGAGAACTCAAACAAAAATCTAAAAAAAAAAGTTAGAATATATCGATAACTTATTAGATATACCTGAATTAAGCACTTGAATACGTGATGAAGTGTTTTTCTGACTCAAATTTTGATTTTCTATATAATATATCATTTGATTGTCGATATATATATATATATATATACATATATACATATATATTATTCGTAACCCCTTCCTCTAGGAGTTCCTGCCTTTTTACTCCCTTGATGACTTGAACTCACAACCTTTGGATGAGAGGTGTTTACCATCCGAGCAACTTCTTCTTGTAAAAAAAAAAAAAAAAAAAGATATTTGAATACATGTATAACGTGGAAATGCCACCATCAATCCATTCCCCACTATTATTTTATTAAAGTGTCGCCAGCCAAAAAGATATGTATTAGTAAAAGTAGTAGAGATTTGAAAGGGGCCATTCCAAATCCCATGCAATTACAAAATTCTCCTACTTTATTAAAAAAAGATTACTGACTTTCCAAGTTTTCTTTAGATGGGCCATTTCTTAATAACAACTTTTCTTATAAGTATAGGTAGCATGCTTATCTGATTAATCAGGATTATCCAGGAGGACCATTTCATTTGTAGCTAGGTCCCACTCAAATATCATTTGACCATCTAGTTTACAAAATAATGTATATAGTATATAGATAATACATATTTTATACTAATATACATATACCTATATATAACATATACAATCAAAGTATATACTTCAATAATAATGTTGGTAAACTAAATGGCGAAAGGATATATTTACGTAAGTTTCCCAATAATCTTTATCTTGAGTAAATCGTACGTGTTCACAAATATATATATATGATGAAGAAGATATATCGTGGCTCAGTTTATGGTGGACTTTAGTATGGGACATTTGGGCTTTCATGTGAACCGATCAAAAGACACTTACAATGACTTACATAGCATGAAATAGAAGCCCAATAATTTATATTTATATTTATATTTTTGAGTTAGTTTATAATTAAGCTAATTATTTTATTTCGTTAATATTAATAAGTTCGTTAATTAATTATATTAATTTCAATTCGTTTTATTTAAGTTTTAGCCGTTAAATTCTTAACTCCAATGGGTTATAATTGCAATCCTTGGGCCCTTAAACCTTTTTGGGGTAATTTTCATACACAATTCCAAAAGACCCAATTCTTCAGCCCAGCCAACATTAACCCATCAGCAGCCCACAAAAACGACCCGTATTCGTCTTCCTCTTTGCAACGACGCCCAAACCCAGCAGCTCTTCGTTGTACCAAGAACCTTGTCGAATCAGTACAGGTTGTTGCTTCTGTCTTTTGCTTTGAAATCAAACGGCTCTCATTAGAAATCTGTTGCATTTTGTACCAATTTCTTGCTGGCCAACCAAGGAATTTGAATTCGAATACAAATCTCCTAAATTGGAGAGGCGGCTGGTGGGATACGAAAATAGGTGAAGCTGGAAATTTAATCTAAATATAGTATTGTGGCCACGAAGGTTCGGGAGGAGAATTCCCTTAGGCTTTGCGTTCATTTCAAAAAGGTGACAACTTCATCCTTATCTCCTTTCTTTCTTTTCGAATGATATGCGTCTTGTACTGATTCGATCCTCCCTTAGCATGAACTAGTTGTTGTTTTCTTTGTATGTTTAACTCTTCTGTTTTAGTCCATATAATGGTTGGCTTGATTCTTAACTGCATGAGATGTTTAAATGTTAGGATTTTGATTGACTATTGATTATGAATCGGTGATGTAGCTGATTAATTCATTCAAATAACGCTCTTTGTTTGAAACTTTCTGATTTCTCTCTGTTAAGTGCCCTATATATTTCAAAATGCTACCACTGTTTAGTCTCACTATGTTGTTTCTAGATTGTAGCTCAGTTTTGAGTCTTGATTTGCTATCTTTTCTTATTTGATTCTGCACTAGTGTTTGGGCTTATTTAATGCTAGTTTCAGCATATTAACATGATTTGAATTCATTTTCTCTCAAGCTTAAAGTCGTATTGGAGTCATGGACAAAAGTTCATCGTTTATGAGTCATTTGCTAGTTTGAGATGATGTATTCTGGTGTGTTCTTGCCCTTGACTTGAGTTGGATGTCTAGTTGTTTTAGCTTAAGGCAGTTCTATCAAATATGCTAGCTTCACCTCTTGGTCCATGGAAGATTGCGACTCCAAAGGTCACTCACCGTCTCATTTTGGGTGTCCATAATCTTGCAGAGGCCAAAGTTAGAAGTGTTGCAGCCTTTGGTGGTGGTTTTGCCTTGTTGTTGCATCTCTAGAACCTGCTTTGTTTCAAGTTGTCTACTAGCTTTAAAATTTACTTTAGCATCTTCTGATCTATTCCTGTGGACACAGTTGCAGACAAAAAACTTCTTGTTGAACAAAGAATTAGGTTTATCTATTCGGTAAACTGAACAAGATCAGTCCAAGCCAGTTACCAAATGACTGTCCATCCTTTCCACTCCTAGGTTTTCTTCCATTTTATTGCTAACTATACTATCTTTATCAAATTTTATAAGCAGTTCAAATTCAATTACTAATACCTGATGTCATTTTTTTAGAATTTGTGTTAAGATTTAAATGTTTGCTCCGCCTCTAATTAGTAAGCACAAAAAAATTGTAACATCTCTAAGGTCACAAGTTTCATATCTTATATAACTATGTAAATATTATAACACGTTTAAAATAACTTATTTCAAATTTTTATTTATTTGACAATTATATCAATCCAAATCATAAATCGAGACAGAAGATTTTTTTTCTTGGTACTCCTTCTGCTTTAATTTACTCGTCTTTTTTTAATTTGACATAAAATTCTAAAAAATATATAATAATTTTTAAATTTTGTGATTTTAGGATAAACATATTAAATATATATCGAAATATATAACTTTATCATTTAAACATGTCAGGTTGAATATTAGTATTAAAGAGTTATCAAAGAGTAGAAATTTATAGAGCTCATTATCATTTTTTTAAAATGAAAAAACACATGAAACACTCGTCACAATATGTCTGGAAATAAAAATTAATAATAATATGTTTGAAAATATGTATTTTTCTGTTGAGCTTTAGTAAATAGTTGGACTTTATAAATTCTCAATTATGAGTAGAAAAGGATGTCTTAGAAGATTGGACTTTTAATTTTGTGAATGGAGAAGGTTCATCTTTTGATTAGGAAATAGTGTAATTATTTGATCGACTGCTTATTGTTGTCACCCCACTTCTTGATTAGTTTTAGATTGTGAAGCAGGTGACCTGACTCCATGATAACTACCCAGACTACAATGAGTCAGCCTAATAAAGCTAATGAACGAGCAGCCTCCTCTACTGCCAGCGTTCAAAACCCAGCTTCCTCATTCAAAAGATTGGGCAGGAAATCACCATTTATGAGATATGGACTTCCTATGATCTCACTAACAGTGCTTGGATCTATTGGTCTTAGCCAACTTCTGCAAGGCAGGTTAGTTATACTTAATGTCAAATTACCCAACTGATGGTCGTTTAACACTTACAAACTGACGAATCTATTCCAAATTTTGCATTTCCGGCCTTTTTGTTGGCACAGCTCCCAAAATCCTAGCGCTAATAATTGTTAACCTTTCCCTAGTTTTATCAATTTTATGTAATTGTCCTTGTTTACACTTAGTCCTTATATAACTATCTGGTATTGTGAGCTCGGAACTCGATCTTAGTTTGGTTCTGATTTACTTGTCATTGTGTATATTAGTTAAGTTATTCTTTGATGTTCCTTTTGATGCATTTTTCTGGCTTTTCAAAGCTTTCATAGTTGCTGCTTCCTCAGTTGTAACTAATACGTAGTATTTTCTTTTATTTTGAATAGTTAATAGTAAGTTTTAGACATCTGAGTCCATATGTTGAGGAAGTCAGCGAGGGAAGACATTTACATGCTAATCGATAATGGGTTTTGGATACCTCAGGCTCCTATGTAGCAGTCAAGTCCTTGTAAGAGATGTCAAGATACTGTTTTTTGTTTTTCACTACTGTAAATATGGCACAACCTTTGTTCTGTTGATATTTATAATATTGTTACTTTTTGGCAAAAAAAAAAATGATAAATGCCAAAATAAAGTGTATTCAAGGCAATTCAAGGCTAAAGATATTAATAGCTCAAGAAAAGTAAGAATAAGTCAGGAGGAGATTTTCATTTACCTTCTTGTTACCTAATTGTCATTTATCTCTTCTTGTTTTAGACCATTGTGCTTTTGACTTCTCATACCCTGATGTTATATTGACTCATATCTTTTCGGATCATCATAGGTAAAGTGATACTTATATGTGTATTGGTAATGCTACTAACTATTGGCATCCTGCTAAAGTTGAATTTCGGTAGCTGAAGTGAAAGCCATAAAAATTTTATGGGCTATTTCAGTCGGCCTGAGTCTACTGTCAATATGAGGGCTAGGCATTAAAATATGCCATCTCTTACCCCCTCTGGGTGTATTTATGTGGTTCATGCCCACTCCTAAGCAGTGTAGCTTCTAGATAGACAAAGTTTTGACATTTTTGGTCATCTCCCTGTTTTTTGGGGACAGTTTTCTCCTGCCATAGATTGTGTGCGGTTTTCAGACATTGTCCTTTTTTTCCCCCTTGGCTTAAGACTAAGTGGTGCAAAATTTTGTAGTTCAGCAAGGATATAGCTAAAGTAAAGGATGATCAAGAGTGGGAAATCATCGAAACAAGAAAAGCTCTTTCCCGGTTTGGACCTGTCAATGCATATAACCCCAAAAAAATGAACTTGGAGGAAGAACTAAAGGTACAAATAGTCATCTTTTGTATGTATGCGTGTGTCGAATTCCTTTCTAAAGCTTACTTTGATGCCTATTTAATTCCTTTGCAGGCTTTGCAAGAGAAGGTTGATATTAATGATTATGAATATAAGAAAATCCCTAAGCCCAAGGAAAGCGAATAAAATAATGTTAGTGGGACTCTCTTGTGCAATAATTTTGCAGCTCGTTGGCTTCTCTTTTGGACTGTCATTTCACTGATTTCTCTGCCAGGCAGCTCTTCCATCCACGAGTTACGTGCTACCGTTGGAAGTAGTTTTTACAGAGTTTGTGAATGCTTTTAGCTGTGTATGCAGGCTGAGTATGTAACTCTTAGTCAAGTTTTAAGTTTCTGCATTCCATGTTTGAAATAATGTGGGCTATTCTTCCTTAGATCTTATTAATTAACTTCTATATAAGAAACTGCTACCAGTTCCTTCTGGCTTGCTCGCGTGACTTGTTTCTCTTGAAGTTTGCCCAGTATACTCTATTAATTCCCCCTTCTAGTTTAGATTAGCAAATAATACTTGTCAAAAAAGGCTTCATTTTCTATTTTAATTTTCTTATTTCTTAGTCATGTTCGATTCATTTCTCATTATGAACTTATAATGCAGTTTAGGTAGAACCATGTATTCAACTTCCAATTTTATTATCCTAAAATTAGTTTGCATTTTACATGCGTTATGTATATAAACAACTCGACCCATGGCCTTTGGCGTGCATGAATTGTGCTATGGTTTCTTTTACACACTAGTTTGATTCTTTGGCAAAAAAAAATACACATTATTCTGGTTCTGGACCTGTAAATATAGCACCTTTTTTTAACCACGTCATCCGTTTTCTTCACATTGACAATGAGCATTCGCTTGTCCGTGCATGTTTTATAATCTTCTAAATGCTAATACACAACACTCTGCGTATTACCTTTAGATGAAGAATGACACGGTTATTGGCAACAATTAGTCGAGATTTGTTGAATTTCACGCTGAATCATACATATAGACTATAGTATAAAATTGCTCATATGCTCTAACGAAATGCAGCTGTCACTCTTTACAACATCATAGATAGCAAAAACGCAGTTGGTCGATACGTCCCCTCCTTTAACACTGTTGTCTACCATAGGAAACTTGGTTTTCCCACCTCAGAAAATTTTGACTACAATACGAACCATGCGCAATTGGGGCAAAAATCAAACATTTTGTTAAAACTTTTTCAGAGAGATAAACAAATTTCTACTCCAAAAAGACAGTAACATAATACCCTTTCTCCCCAATTCTCACCATAATTTTACATTTCAGCCCCTGGCTGACAACACATCCAAATTTAGACCGGAAGATGATCCCTCGGGCTGAGAGAGTTTTCTGATATTTCTGTTGTAGTCAACATCTTGTCCTAATGGTAGGTCCAAAAGGTATTTTTCCTTGCTACCAACTTGCTGCAGATGCATCAGTGCAAGCATGCTGATTGCAACCAAGGCTGCATTCCCCAAAATTCCACCCACTTCATCCACTCTAAGAGACTTCCTAAAAAAATTAAAACTAGAAAAGAATACATTGAATAGAGCATTTGATCTCTTCCTTATCTGCGTCGTTAAATTTTCACCTGTGGCGCTTGTAGCAGGACCATACAGATTTTCAGGAGAAACAAACTGACTGGCATTACGAACATCTCCCACCAAAGATTGAGCTTCTTCAATGAATTTATATTTCTTACCCGGATGTTCAGCCAATCGCATTGCAAGTACAATTCGGCTTTGCTCTAAGCGAGCAAGAGCAGCATCCCTTTCTGCACGTTGCTGATTCTGTACGGTCTGGTTCAAGTGCACCCAAAAAGAAGAAAAAAAAGTAAGTAGGAAGTTAATATCTATTGTACATAATATAATATTAAAGTCAATTCAAACTGCGCAGTCATACTTCTTAAATAAAAAACAGACTAAGATATCACTATGTGAATGCTTCTAGTACATATTCAGCAATAAAGAAGAGGATCTCAGAAAGAGTTTAGGATCTATCCATTTACATCTTCATAAATCGAACTTGAAGTTCTTCTACTTTAAACATACTCTAATCAATGTAAACAGCTCAAACCAACTACTTGTCTTCACCAACCACATCTCTGTACCAATTTGTAACTGATTCTGTTACGCATTAGCAGCACCTGCCCAAACACCCCACAACTCCAGAAAGAAGAAAGAAAATGCTCTCACACATCATGAACCACTTCAAGTAATGCAATTGAAGAACAAGATATAGATTGCATTTACTACAATTACTCCAATGCCTTCAAAGTTGACTAGCAAGATACCACGACTCCCCAGATGAACAAGATATAGATTGCATTTACTACAATTACTCCAATGCCTTCAAAGTTGACTAGCAAGATACCACGACTCCCCAGATGAACAAGATATAGATTGCATTTACTACAATTACTCCAAGTCTTCAATGCCTTCAAAGCTGACTAGAAAGAAAAGTTAGTCTTATGCATAGGGTACCACGGCTTCCCAGATGGACCAATGAAATACACTAACCAGCGCAGTTGTCACTGGTAAAACTCCCTAAGTTTACCTGTGTTGAACAGAAATGGCTGAGAGATTCAACCCGAAAATTGGCAGTCTCTAGGTTCAGATGTATATTTAGCACATTGACAGTGGATAAGCGGGATTATTTTCTCATGGTGAAATTTATGAACATTTTGGAGTAGCCAGTTAAAATAAATCTCTGAGTTTATAAATGGTAGAGTTGTCATGAATCATTATTCCATACCAAAAAAATTCGAGACAGCGAAAAACTTGCGCTGAAAGTGAACATACTTCTTAAAGTGACAACTAATACAAGGGTAATATTCTTGATTTTGTTGAAATCCTAGAATTACTCATTGATGATGTATTTAATGTTTTGTTTGGATAAGTTGATTACAGATTTAGTATTAGAATTGGTTGGCTCTTTTCACCATTATACCTTCTTTTTTTATGACTGTGGTGTCCATTACTATACTTTGATCTTTTTCAGTCTTTTTTTGTGGATAATGGTGATGTTCGAACCAGCTTGTGCACACCTCGACTATTCCAGGTACCCACCAGCGCAAGTACCAAGTAACTGTGCTGGAATTTGAACTCTTCTTTCAAAGGTTTGCACCCACTTCATTTGACGTTGGCCACATCCTTAGGTGTTGCACTATGCTCTTTTGTTTCCTCGAAGCCTTCTCAATAGTTTTTGTGTTTTTTTTCCCTTACTTGGGTCGTTAGTCATGTTTGGATTATGCTTGAATAATGAACAAACTTCTAACACTTCGGCATATGTATGTAATTACGGCCAACCGCCAACCAAAATATCAATAAATCCATTTTTTCCTAGTACTTTTCATTTGGATACTTTGGGGTAAAACTTGGTTTGGAACTTCAATTGCTTCAACCTTTCGTTGAGGTCTCAGTAATGCAAGGGTGTGACCTAGCAGTCAAATGAAGTGGGAAGAAAACCATGAGGTGGTTCAAATCAGAGACAAAAGCATCACTGGATGATTTCTGCCTAAACTTTGGCAAGAAAATTTATCCAATATTGATGGGAGTCGGTAGGTATCCGGTGGAATAGTTGAGGTGTGTACAAGCTCGCCCGGACAATCTTCATCCCAAAAAAGAACCAATAACTCTTAAGTACCAAAAAGCTATACTACAGAAATATATGCAAAACATATCCTAAAAGGGTACTTCTTGCAAGTTGTGGAGGCTAAGACACTAGAGCTCTCACATTCTCTTTCTTAGTTCTATCAAATATGCTAGTTTCACCTCTTGGTCCATGGAAGATTGCGACTCCAAAGGTCACTCGCCGTCTCATGTTGGGTGTCCATAAACTTGCAGAGGCCAAAGTTTTTTTGTTTTTTTTTTTAATTGAAATTTTATATCTATCATTGCCACTGAGAAACACAGAGGCCAAAGTTAGAAGTGTTGCAGCCTTTGGTGGTGGTTTTGCCTTATTGTTGTATCTCTAGAACCTGCTTTGTTTCAAGCTGTCTACTAGTGTTAAAATTTACTTTAGCATCTACTGATCTATTCATGTGGACACAGTTGCAGACAAAAAGCTTCTTGTTGAACAAAGAACTAGGTTTGTCTATTCGGTAAACCGAACGAGATCAGTCCAAGCCAGTTACCAAATGATTGTCCATCCTTTCCACTCCTAGTTGTTCTTCCATTTTATTGCTAACTATACTATCTTTATCAAAAAAATTATAAGCAGTTCACACAGCCATTAATGTTGGATACAACTTTTTAATGCACATGTACGCCTTAATATTTTTTTCACTGGACATCAAAAGAATAATTGATACCGGTCTCAAAGAACACAATTGATAGCAACCTCACTGAACGTACGCCATCAGAGATGCATACAGTAAATCCAGAAAAGTCATGAACATCATAGTTCATTTGAATCGAACAACATAGTTCTTGTCATTATTCTTTTCAGAGAAAAGCTATGAACATACAAGCTTGCGCAGAGGAAAAGGAACAAGAGTGATTCGTAATTAAGTAAGAAAAAGAGGTGAAGTAAACTTTAATGTCAAACTCAGATTGTCATTAAAACAGATCTCTTCCTACCTTAACAGCACGCAGATCAATTGGGTTTCGAACACGAGAGACATTGTGTTTTTGAGTCCTCGGTAACTTAACAACTTATCTCATATTACCTTCCTAATTAGATAAAAGTTCAAACATTAGTTGGACTGTTGGGTAGTCAAGAATCTGAAGGTAAGAGTAAATTGTGTGTTTATGGGTTACTGTTTCTAATGCTTGAACTTTGATAATGGTGAGACTTTCAATTTTGAGGAAGATGGAAAACAGGGCAGTGGTATGTGGATGCGTTAATGAGTCCAAATTCTGATATTACAGCGGCCTATTCTTTGAATTTTGGGGTTCTGATAGTAAACAGAAATGGTGATAGCAATAGTTGTGGTCTTGGTGTGATTACTGTGATAAGAAGGAATAACGAGAAAGAAAACAAACCTAAAAAAAATATATCTTAAATGTTAAGTTGAAATAAATATATAATCTCCAATTGGAAACCGACACATGGACTATTTAATTCAATTTTAGCAATCATAGCTTCATTCGTTCAATCCTTACACGCTTACAAGAGGTGTAGTCAACTTCTTGGACAGGTCAACATTTAAGGGTTACAAAATTCCAAAAATAAAAGGTTCAAGGGGGTAATAGAACCCAGTATGGAATAAGTGTATAGTTTAGTAAAATGACAATATGTTGGGAGGGCCTTTTACCATTTTCTCAACAAAAATACTACCTAGTCTTCACCGCAACTTGTATCAAACTTTTCTCTATGAGCACCAAATAAAAACCAAGCTGTCAAAGTCCTGTTTCTATGAAAATTTTGGCAAGTGATAGTGTAGCATACAATCATACCCATGCTAAAATTGCATGTTACAGTATCAAATAACCACAAGGTTTTTGCAGTAATTGCTCTACAGTGGACAAGATGGAATTTCAGCACTAATTTGATAACAGCAATATTAGTATGATAAATACAGTGCTTACAACTCGAAGCATGAAAACAAAACAAATACACAGGTTTAGTGTTTTCTTTCTTTTCACATCCATTCCTCCTCCTCCTCCTCTTGCAATTACTCATTTTTGCGTGAGGGCTGACCCAATATAAGATGTACTAACATATAAGCAATAATATGCTGGAAACATGCTAAGCAGCTACTCGGATAGTCAGATTATATCATGACATTTCATTTTGATCGAACTTCACAAGCCACATTAATTGCAGCATAGCATCACAAAACATCAAATCTAACGCATGACACAACAGTAGACAATTTCAAACAACGCCGGCTAATTCCATTCAGTCAGATAATGAAAAGCGAATAGATTATATCAATAGACGAATAAAACAAAAAAAAAGGATAGAAATGAGAAGTTACATGGAAGAACTCGAGCTGGTCCTCAAGGTGTTCAAGTGCGGTCCGGATAGCATTGAGACTCTTAGCCTCATGAACAGCGGATTCATCATCATCAACACGGAACTCCTTAACGAAAACGTAACCATGCTTTACCTGATCTCCATTGTTATCGTTTCTCTTGTTAAAACGGTGACCGTAAAAGTCATCGGACTTAGAGCGAGACTTGACGGAATTGAGGAATTGAGCTCGAGAAACAGAGTGAATAGCATCGCTAAGCTTATCATGTAAATCCCAAATTTTCTCAAGCACAGCTTCGATTTCATACACCTCCATTTCCCATTTCATGGAGGAAACCACAGTCTGGAGGGAAAGTATATTGAAATTCGGTAAAAGCAAAAAGGGAAAGAGAAAGAGAAAGAGAGTATTCTGGCTAGGGTTTGTAGATTTTATTTATTTATTTTATTTAATTTTGTGTATTTGTATTTCCCTCTTCTTCTTTATTTGGATTTATTTAGCGCTTCTTTCGCACTAACCAACGCATATTTTGGTGGGTGATGACCTGGCAGTCCTCTACCGTTACACCGTGGAAACGTGAGGCTCACTAGTCAGGTGTATTTTCATCATCATTCTCAGTTCTGGGATGGTGGTCCCCCACAATGAACAGGTTCATTTTTAAAAAATCTCTATTTACTCCACAATTTAAGACGTGAAATTGAATGCGTCCCCATATTTTAAAAAAATAATCATATATGCCACAATTTAAGACGCAATGTGGTATCAGACATCGGATGAGAAATTAAAAAGAAATTGAATATACAGTAAAACCTCATTAAATTAATACTCGATAAATTAATAATCTCTCTAAGATAATATTTTCATCTGGTCCCGGCTTGGGCCAATAGAAAAAATTACTTATTTCGATAAGATAATATATTTTCAAAAGACTCCTATATAAATATATGGTCCCATTAATATTATATAAATTAAGAATTCTTTAAAATTGCAAATATATCTATGACAATTTAGTGAAATATGATTCTATTATTTTTGTTTTTCGTTAAAATTTAAATCTAGTTGAAGCTCATATCTAACTTTTCTTATTGCATCCTAAAGTTCTAGTGTTGTCTTTTCAAACTGCACCATAAAATTGCAAAGATTTCAAGACCTGATATGTGTTGCCTTACGCGTAACTGGTTCAAAAGGTATTGTATCATCTTCAACTTCATCTTCAACTTTATTTTTTTCCAGATGAAATTATTTCTTCTAAACTCGGGACCTCTAAACATGAATCTCAAAACATTCTTTTAATTAATAAATATCAATTTATTGATTAAATAATACATCTACAAAATAATAATATTTCAGGATCCCAACTATATTAATTTAGTGAGGTTTTACTGTAAATTCAGATATCATATTAAGATTTAAATATTAATAATTAATTATTTTTTTTGAGCATTTAAATGTATAAAATTTGTTTTTATTAATAAATTTCAATAAAATTCTAAGGTAATATGGTACTATTTATTAATTTCTTTACTCATGAAATTATATTTGATATGTTGTTATTTATATCAACAAAAAAAGTTATAAAGTTATTTGGTGATAGTTATATTGGCTATTGTAGCGATGGTGGTTATGGATATTGATCAAGGATGGTGTTGTGGTGTAGGTAGTAGCTACTAGTAGGTGACTGGTGATTGTTTATAATTTGGTATATAATGCGGTGATTGATGATGGTGATTTGAGGGTAATTGTGGTAATATCGATGGGTGATAACAGTTGTAAATTAAATAGATTGGTGGTTAGTGATAATAGTAACAAATTAATAATGATGGTAATTGTCGATAGTGATAATGGGCGATAGTAGTTGATAACAATGAACAAATATAATGATGATGAACAATGAAGATAGTGGTGAATAAATAGAAATAGAATAGATAAATTTCTATTTTATAAAGATGATATTTCAATAGCATATCTTACATAGCTTAATCATTTAAAACACGGACCCATTAAATGAAAGATGTGAAGAAAAAATGTAATTAGTTGTTAAGATTCAGACTTAAAAATAAATTCACTTAATTATGAGATTTAAATCATTATAATTAAAATTATTATTAAATACATTAAATGAAACCTGAGTTAATTAGGTACATTTTAAAACGTAGAGCTGGAGTTCACCTCAAGGCTCCTCTAGGTATAATATTTCCTCAAGTTTTCTTTTCAGGAATACTATTCTGATCAATAAAGTCACATAGTGCATTAATTTAGTGTATAAGTGTATTATACAAGTCTTTAAATATTGCTTCAACACTTGGTGATTTTTTTTTATATATAACTAACAAAATATTAGGTTCGATTTTTTTTTCTCTAGGGTTTAGATCTAATTTCTAAATGTGTTATTTTATAGAGTATAAGTTTAGTTAGTCGATGGTTTATTCGTCCAATCTATTTTATGTTGATTATTTAACAAAATAAATATTGTTTAGTTATTTTAAACAATATAACCATGAAATTGTTAAACACCTCAAGTTAATAAATAATTTTATTTTGAATATGTGAAGATATTTATTTTTTAATATTGATCTAGGATATCTGCAATTTGCATAAAATGAAAAAGGAATTATATTTATCCTTAATAAATATTTATTTAAATTTTGATCCTATTTTTTTTTTTTTGGAAACCAACAAAATTGTATTAATCACCAAAGTGTATCCATTACATAACCAATAGCAAAGTCATGACCCAACTTGCTATTCTAAAAAAAAACAAAGACAACGAGAACAGTAAAAAACTAACCTAGCAATCTAAAATGCAAATTGATGAATGACTTGCATAGTTTTCTGGCTGGCTTGATCCTAATTTTTAGAAGTTACATTTTTTCAAGTCCAATTTGTTAATGTGATAAGTGTTGAAATTACAGCACTTAAATCCTATTTTTTTAGAAGGTATATTTTTCAAATCTATTTTGTTAGTAGTTTAGGTCTTGAACCTCATTTATTAGAAGGTACATTTTTCTAAGTCTATATACTTTTTTAGTATTTTAGGTCTTAAAATGACGAGCATACACTCTATTATTAAAAGAGACATTTTTGTGTGTCTATTTTGTTAATATGGTAGTTCCTAAAATTACAAGATCTAAATCCTAAATCCTATGTTTTTAGAATTAAGTACATTTTTTTCACAGGTCTATTTTATTACATAGTTTAGGTTTATGTTTTTAGAATTAAGTACATTTTTTCACAAGTTTATTTTATTAATAGTTTAGGTCTTGAAATTACAAGATTTACCCTATTTTCTTAGAAGAGGCATTTTTTCAAGTTTGTTTTGTTAGTGTGGTAAGTCTTAAAATTACAAGGCATACAATATTACTTTTTTAGAAGATAACAATATTTTAAGTCTATTTCATTAGTAGTTTGATCTTGTAAATTACAAGATTTGAACCTTGTTTTTTTTTTTAGAAGATACAATTTTTTTTCAAGTTTATTTTGTTAGTACGATAATTCTTAAAATTACAATACATAAAACATTATTTTTTTTAGAAGGTGCAATATTTCTAGTCTCTTTCATTTGTAGTTTAGATCTCAAAATTACAATATCTAAATTCCAACTTTTTTTAGAAGGTATATATATATATTTTCCAAAGTCTTTTCTGTTAGTAGTTTAGCTCTTGAAATTAAAAGATTTAAATTCTACTATTTTAGAAGGGACTTTCCAAGTCTATTTTATTAGTATAGTATATCTTAAAATTTCAAGACATAAAACCTAATCTTTTTAAAAGGGCATTTCAAGCCTATTTTGTTAATATGGTGTAGGTTAAGTTTATAGTTATGTTTTAGGGACATTGTAATTATATCTTAATTTTGTTAAGTTAGAAATTTATTGTTAGTTAATGATTATCAACCCTTAACTAATAACAATTATTTTTTCATCCTAAAACCTATTATAACAATCTTTTTAACTACGTAATTTTTTAACAAAATTAACATTACGAAAAAAGCTTTAACACATTAACATTATGAAATTAGCAAAATAGCAATTTCATAATTAGATAAATAATAAACTAATAAACAAACAATTAACTTTTAATGAACACTAATTAAGTATCTGAGTGATATTTAAGGATTTATATAGCACACTAAATTAGTGTGTTATGCGACTTCATCAATTAATCAAGGCGTGGTCCGATCATAAAAGTTATTCAGCATACTAATTCAATGTGCTATTGATAAAAAAAAGAAAATTTTATTTTGATATATTCATTTGATCAACTTTTATTTTTCATCTGTTATTCATATTTTGGACTCTCCATAAGATACATGAATTTAATCAATAAAAAGGATGAACTATATTTCTTTAAATGTATCTTCATAACAGATTTGCTTTAGATTCGTATGAAAATTTACATATTTATTTATTTTCTTTCTTCAAATGTGTGTAAAATAGTGGTCCTATTACTTTCAATATTTTTTGTAATTTTCAATGATGACCTTAAAATAGTATACTATATGGGTCCATTAGTATAGCAACTAGCCATTTGTTTTTATTTACAAATCTTGTCTTCCCTTTCTCTAGTTAATATAATGAGAAATTGATTTATACTATTTTGTAAATTTTTATATATATAATAGATTTATACAATTAACAATATTTTTTTCATTTAACAAATATAGCAGAAATTTAGTTTCAAAGCACATGCAGAATTAGGCTTTGAATATCGCTTAATGCTTCAAATTTTACTCACAATTTAATATATATATATATATATACTGGTCAACTTAGATTTACTCAGTACATGATAAAAATAAATTGCAACGTACTTAACTTTCGTAGAAGATTCAAATTGAATTTGAATTGGTATGATTATAACACGATGCTTATAGTGCCCACCTACATGCAATTTATTTTATCTTATACTTGTATGATTAATTTTTTAGAAAGTTAATTATGTGTATCTTTAAGTGTTTATCTTAGAAAGTTGAGACGTTTAATTATGTATATGAGGTGAAAAAATAAATATTTTTGAATAGTAATAAAAATTATTTTCAGAAGTTTAAAGTAATAGTTTTTCCTCATAAGCACTTTTGAAACCATTACCAAGCATAAATTGTTTTGCTATAATAATAACAAAAATGTTTTTCAAATTAATTAGTGAAACCTGAATTACTTATTTGAAAGTGTTTTTTCAAGAAGTGTTTCTAACAAGAAAACACTTTTCAAATTAAGATTTTTTTAAAAAAATTGACCAAATAAGCTATAAACACAAATGCAGTCTTCCTAGATAATGACTATATTATGCTTATTTATATAATTTATTTTGACAAAGATAATATTTAAATAAATTACATTATTTTTTATTGCTTTATAATATTACAAACTTGTAATTTATTATGAAAAATAAACTTGTAATATTCCAAAGAAAAAATTAATATTGAGGGTAGAGTTACTAAAAAATATGGGATGAAGAGTAAAATATATGATTATTATATTAAAAGTAAAAACGAGATGAGAAAAATACGAAGTAACAATGCGAGCATCTCAAATCGATCTTTATATAAAATGGCATTTTTGTCATTATATAACAAATTTAACAATACGACATAATAATATCTGATACACCACCAACGAATGTGGTGCAATGAATGAGGCTGTTCTTTTCTTAATCAGAAGATTCAGGTTCAACCCTAAGCATGAATTCGGATTAACCGGACTCAAATGGGGAAACTAAAAATAAAATATGTACAATTTGTCACCTCTAAAATAAATCCCAATCTGTGCAGTATAGAAAGCCAAAAGCCCTCCAAATTCCAATCACTAGCGGCCAGTGCATTTACACCACGACTTTTGAGCATTTTTCCCGTCCAAGCAATTGGCTAATGTATTTTTTATTTTTGATATCTAAGCTTAGGAAAAGTTTAGTGGATGCAACGAGGCTTTCAAACATGAAAATTTAAAATATCTACGTATTAATTAATGAAAAAAGTGAATATTTTTTGGTATCTTTTAAATTTTTATGGACACATTTTCGGAATTCAACTTTAGAAAAAAAGTACATTAAAAAATTATGATCAAACGCTTTCCCAGAATTTGAAAATTAAAATTACTTTATAAAATACACACAATTTTCATCAATATATAAAAGCAATTCACTATGGCCAGAGGAAAATACGTATATTCTCTAATGAAAAAAATAAATAATAAATGTAGTTGACTTGTTGAAGAAAAGTGTGAAGGTCACTTGAAAGGTGGATATAACTCAATCAAGTTTGAAACAATTTTCATATTAAGGTTAAGTTAATTTTGTATATACCTATACTTTTAGTTTTGCCGCTCATAGATGAGAGAGTTGCTCGAATGACAAGTACCTCTCACTTCCAATTCGAAGATTGTAGTTTGAGTCCCCAACAAAGTAAAATGGGTGGGAGCTCTCAGGGAGAATTTTTTTTAAAAAATATTGCGCATATTCTAACTAAAAAAATGTATTTCTTTGGAACAAAAAAATTCTTGAAAAATACAATTCCCACAGTGGGTAAATAATGATATATGTTTTTCTTTAGAAATTAAACTAGTTTGAAAGTAAACCATGTCAAATTTTACTAATTACTACTGGACAAATGAAGGCTTGCCTCTGAAGTTTTGTCGTGATACGAAGGCACAACAAACTTAAGGGTAAGTTCTAGAAAAGTGATGGTTTGACTAACTAAATTTGTATGACCTTATGAGGCAGAGTGTTGGCTAGTTAAGAACTCTCATATTTAGAATATGAAAGTTGCATAGATCAGAATGTTGAAGTAGATGTATGCACATACGAAGAGAGACAAAATTTAAAATGAAGATATCTGAGACAAGGTATGAGTAGCCTCCGTGCTAGACCAGATGAAGGAAACTAGACTAAGATCGATTGGACATGTGAATAAGAGAAGTGTAGATGCCCAGTAAGAAAGTGTAAGCGGTTGGTAGTGGCAAGCGTCAAGATAGGTTGAGGCAAGTCGAAAAGTATTGAAATGATTAGATAAGACATAACATATCTTAATTTTGCCAAGAACTTGACTTTAGATAGAAATGGTTGGAAGTCACAGATTATGGTAGAAAGTTAGTTGACAGTTGAATCTTGCTTTCCTTCGGGATAGGTTTGATGATCATACTTGGATCTTTCTTCTTACTAAAAGTATTAACATTAATCTCGTAGTTTTTTTATCTTCAATTTTGGTCATCATTGGTATTTTTTATGCTTCAATTATTGCATTATTTTGTTGTCGTTGACATTCTCCGATCCCTCTGTTTATTGTGTAATACTCTCAATTTCGCACTATTTTGTTATTGTTATTGCTCTCATATATGTATCCCCTTTTAAAATTGATTGACAAATTTTTATTCAAGTTGAAAATCTATTGAAAACAACTTCTTTACCTCTATATGACAGAAATACGATACACTACTTACAGTCTATCCCTCTCAAATTCACATGATATACATGGTGAGTTATTGTTGTACATAATTTGACTATTTATTTGAAAAATCATCTCAAACGGCTGAAATTGGAGAACCAATAGACAATAGTCAATATTTTGGACAAATTTATGTGGTATTTGGTTTATATTCTAATTTCCATTTTATTTTTTTGTTCAAAAAATCCATTTTGTGGACTTCAGATTTACAAGTCGCACTTTTAGAAGCCTTTTTTTTTCCTGTTTTTTCTATATTTTAATCAAATTTCCTTCTCCCATATTAAATCAAATTTTCTTTTTCGTATTGGTTCATTGAATATTGCAAATATAAAAAGAAAAAAATATCTATTTAACTATTTTCCCTTTTTAAATCGAATTTCCTTTTCCACATATTTAAATCAAATATTGAAAAAGTAGAAAAAAATTAATTTGTAGTGTATCTATTTTCCTTAGGCGCTAATATTTAGGCGTGCCAAACAAGCCCTAATTTTAGAGAATTCTCTGGCCTTTACTGCCCCGCGAGGCGTGGCAATTTTGGTTTTCCTCTTCTCCAAGGAACTAGGGAACTCCTTTCTCCAAAATAATAATAATAACTATCCTTTTAATTTTTACTCCCTCATCACTGTTGAATCAAAGCTCAGATCAACAGGTATTTTTTGATTCTTTTCTTTAATTTTCTTGTCGAGTTATGACGATTTTCTGGTTAAACCTTCGATTTTTCTGCGTTTTTTGTGTGTATTTTTTCGTTAATTGCTGTTTTCTAAGAATATCTTGAAAACTCAGTTCATGGATTTTGTTTTTCTTCCTCATTTTGTTTTTGGGTTGAGGCGCGGAGGGGATATAAGTTATGTGTTTTGAGTTTTTTTTTTCCTTTCTTTGTCTTAATGGAAGAAATATTGAGTATTCGAATGGAGAAATTGATATTGAGGATTCATATAACCGATTTATCTAATTTGATATTGAGGTGTTGTTGTTGTTGTCAACTTTTTCTTGGATAAATTCTATGGAAGGAACAAATTCTATGCTTTTGATTGTATGCGTTTGGATGTTTTTCATCCTATGTTGACATTCTGGCCCTATTCCAAATTTCAATTTATTTGCTATTAGTTTTGCTTCCTTTTCTTATAGAAGCATATTAAGTGAAACTAGAAAGGTCGGAGATATTCGTTTCGTTTGTAGAATTTCAATGCTTAAATTACTAATGGGGTGGTTTCTGGCAACATTTCATTTCAGGTTGATCCATTGAGAGAAAAATGGTGGACGAATTGAAGCAAGGAGAAAATTCATGGATAGACACGGCTGAGCAGTCGGATAGAGTATTGAATGTTGATAATAATGTTTCCTTGATGTCTCAATCAATAGTTATCACTGATGGGGTAGAACCCTTACATCCTCAGCAGCCTCCACCTCAGGGTACCAGCCCCTCCTCGGATGTCCGATTGGGCTTTCCTGAACGAGCCATCTCAGCAGCTGGTGCAGCATTTCTCTCTGCTGTCCTTGTTAATCCACTTGATGTTGTCAAGGTATTTATGCTAAATACGGACAATTACCCAATTATTTTGTTCACCTTTTACTTATCTTTTGATGTTCATTTCAGTTGTATCCAGAAGTTTTGATACTTTGTTGAATTTCAGATATAGGAATATTATATGCATACAATATATTGATAAGCTGACTAATTTCTGTTTCTGCACTAATTTACAGACTAGATTGCAAGCACAGGCAGCTGGAGTTGCTTATTCACATCCAATGAGTAACATGACTAGCCGCATGGCAGTTTTTGGGCCAAATATGGTATAACATGCTTTGAAGTGTTCTTTTTTATGTGGAAACAACTTTTTGTGTCTTTAATTTGTCTTCCTTGATTCTCGAATATAGATATGTTCATTTCTTCCCGTTGAAGTTCTTTTCCTATTTCATACGTAGAGTACTATGATACTAAGCATAACTCAAAACCTATTGTGGGAAGACAGGCAAAATCAATATGCTTTCTTGTTAATCCTCATGTTAAAATGAGGTAGTTAATAAAAGAGGGTATTGACTTGTGTGTTGGTGTTATCTTTGTTGAGCTTTTTTATAGAAAAAAAGTTGTCTGGTGAACTTGAATGGCTTGCTAAATTTTGAGCATAACCCAAAACTATTGTGGAAAGACATGCAAAATCAATATGCTTTCTTGTTAATCGTAATGTTAAAATGAGGTAGTTAAGAAAAGAGGATATTGACTAGTGTATTGGTGTTGTCTTCATTGAACTTTTGAATAGAAAAAAGTTGTCTGTTCAACTTGAATAGCTTGCTAAGTTTTGGATTTTTCAAGTGAAAGATAGATGAATAAGCTATACAATTACTTAATTGTGTCATAAAACTCTTTGCATTGGCACTGCCACAATAAATGCTGGATGCATTTATCTACTTATTGCCTGTTTAACCTGATTAATTTTTAGTGGTTCTGATTATTGTTGGATGGACGGACTTGCAGAACAAATTACGGCTAATGCTCCACTCTTATTTCCTAATTTTTCTTAGTGGTTTACACCTTGTTTTATTGCAGTTGCATAAAGTGGTTTGTTTAAAGTACTACATGTGCCTGCCTGCTTGATTACATGTGAATAGTGTCCGAGACACCAGACTTGGGAGTGGGAGCGGAATTAGAGCATGTTTTTCATAATCATTACAGTAAAATCAAGTTGACAGTATTATTTATTTAATTTTTGATAAAAATCAACTTGATGCTATTATTAGTTTAAGTGTAAATTCGGAAAAACAGCTGCGACTGCACAAGAAACAAAAATAGCACGTAAACCTTGTATAACGAGAAAGATAAATTGATAGAATGTTTTAAAGATGTGAGTAGTTCATCCTTAGAATTTCTAGATATAGCAGGAGTATGAATAGCCTTCCTTCATAGTGGGCACATTCAGCAAGTTTGAGGTTGATTCCGCAGGTATAAATATTATCTGTTCTTGGCTGATTTCTACCACCTTTTTGGTATAAGAAGAGGTGAAAGCAACTTCCTTTCTTAGTTGGAGACAAAATGTAAAACATGATTTTGTTATGAGCCATAAACTGTATTTTCAAGATGGTAAAGTTATTAGAATAGCTGTTTGGTCATTAATAAAGGGTCTAAAAACTTCCAAGGCTGTGGCATAGTGATGGAAGAGTTGAAGTAATAATCATAGCAATCAAGTTTCAAATCCCATGAGACATTATTAGGTTAATTCTTCCAATTTGCCTACTTAGTGGGAAGTAGTTACTCTGTGCATGTGCTAGTAGGTAGTATATACCCCGCAGATTAGTCGAGATGCACGTAGGTTAGCTCGGACACCAACATAAAATAAAAGTATATAGACCAAGTTATTCTCAGCAAAAAGGAAAGAGGTTTAGGGATTGGGAATTTGAAAATCCAGAATCAAAGCTTACTTATGAAGTGGCTATGGAGATTTGCGTCACAAGAACAAGCTCTCTGGAAGGAAACCATAAAGACTAGGTTTGGAATGGAGAATTTGTGGATCACCAGCTTGCCCACACAACCTTATGGGTCTGGAGTATGGAGATCCATCAGAAATCTATGGGCCAAATTTTTAACAAATGCAAAACCAAGGTAGGGAATGGTGGAAGGACACTGTTCTGGGAAGACAGATGGGTGGATCAGGTGACGTTGAGAAATAGGTTCCCTATTTTGTTCAACCCGAGCCTTCAAAAGATGCTACAATCAGTGAAATGAGAGATAATCAGGGGTGGGATCTCAGGTTTAGAAGACATCTAAATGATTGGGAGGTCAATAGAGTAGTTGAGCTGCTCAACATTCTTGGGCAGTGCAAAGATGAGGACAATCTATTTTAGTATCCAGATAAGGCAGTTTTTCAGCTGGCTCAGCTTATAGAAGCTCCTGTGACTCATATATGTGGATGGCCTCGGAAGATGATTTGGAAAGTCAAGATACCATTCAAGGTAGCATATTTCACTTGGTTGCTAGCCGAACAGACTGCACTCACTCAACACAACTTCATGAAAAGAGGTGTGCAAATTTGTTCCAGGTGTTGGTTTTGTGAATGTGAGGTCAAGACAATAAACCATCTCTTTCTACATTGTAGAGAGACTGTGAAGCTGTGGCAGATTTTCATCAACTTAAGGGGCATCAGTTGGACTATGCCAGGGAACATCAAAGAAGTTCTAGCTTGCTGGAAATTGGAATAGAGATGGGAATCAGTCAGGACACAGGGAGAGATGGAAGATTGTCCCTGCCTGCATTTGGTGGACTATATGGATGGAGAGGAATCAGAAATGTTTTAAAAACAAGAGCTTCTCTATGCAGAATTTGAAGCTGAATTGTCTGGTTCCTTTTTTTTTTTTGTTTTGATCAAAGGTTCCTTTTCTTTTTTTTTTGGTGTAAACATGAATATCCTCAAGATGTAGAGGATATTCCTAGTATTTTAGATTACTAATGACCTACATAGGAGTTTTCTCTCTTTTGCAACTTTTGGATATGAGTATTACTAGAATACTCTGTGTATTCTTTTGTTTGTAATACAAGTTACCTTTTTCAAAAATAAAAAATAAAAAAGGGTCTTAAATACAGTATTTCCTGGGTGAACTGTTTCCCTTGTCTCAAATATATATCTGTATTGATCTCTTGAAGAATGTGGAATTTTATAGATCTTTTCTTCTATTGAAATAAGCAATATGATATTGATTTATTCATTTGTTCACTCAGATGTTTGCAGACCTGAGGTGTTCACCTTCATGTACCCGAGCTGGTGTTCATGGTACAGTATCAATCTGCCCACCTGATTGTTTCCAGTACAAAGGAGCACTTGATGTCTTCTACAAAATTATTCGGCAGGTTGGCAAATTTATTCTCATGTTCTCTCAGATGCTCGAGTGTGTTGATTGCTCAAGTTTTCATGTTTATCTTCTGAATTTTCATCTTGCAGTTTGGATTGTTTTAAACTTTTCCTGACTCTTAACTGGTGTCTTTTCACAGGAGGGTATTTCTAAGCTATGGAGAGGTACAAATGCTGGTCTAGCTCTGGCTGTACCAACAGTATGTGCCTATTGATTTAATCATAATTAGTTTCTTTGAACTCGCCAATGACTCCCTTATAGTGTATTTAAGTAAGTTAAGGCTATATGTTATAATCACAATTTTGTGCTGATGCTTTTTGAACAGGTCGGAATTTACTTGCCTTGCTATGACATTTTTCGCAACAAGTTAGAGGAGTTCACAGCTCAACATACCCCAAGCTTGACACCATATGCCCCTTTATTAGCTGGTTCTCTGGCACGGTCTTTAGCTTGCACAAGTTGCTATCCTATTGAACTTGCCAGAACACGAATGCAGGTATCTCACAACTCCTATTGTCAAGGTTTAATCTATCCACCATATTTAAAGGAGAGAAAAGGGTCTGGGCTGGTATAGAAGTAATTTATTTTGTATATTTTGTTATATATGTGTCATTCTAGGCATTCCAGTTGCTCTTTACTTGCTACAAACATGGGTGATCCACTCCTTCAACTGTTCTGATTCTCTCTTTCACTGAGTTGCTCCTGTTTATAGGCATTTAAGGATATGAACAAGAAGCCTGCTGGAGTCTGGAAGACTTTGTTTGAAGTTATTGCCAATGTCAGGAGCACAACTAGTACCAATTTTGGCTGTAAGTCAATTTTTTCCCTGGCCCTGCTTTCTAGCTATAGGAAAGAGTTTCTAGACATTGTTTGTTAGTGAAAATGAATAGCTGTAGATTCCATATTAGTGTTAAAGGTGTTATTACTTACCAACAAATAAATAAACTAAAGGTGTTTACCTGAATATATTCCTAAAAATCCGTGTCCCAACTTTAGGCTCAACAGTTGTGATCTTTAAATTCTCTTCTCTGTGCTGGTTCATTTGCTCCTCTTCTAATAGCACTATTACAACATGTGGAAATGAATCAAAACTTGACAATGAAGATGCTGTGAGTGATGTTCTAAATTGTGTAAGTGAGGAGAATATTTTCCAAAGTCCTTCAGAAAGTTGAATCTTCACATAGCTTATATAGTTCTTAAAAGTCCATTACTTCTCATTCTAGCTCCTTGTTTCTCTACTTAAAAGCTGTGTCTCACTTTCACTCTTTAAATATGAATGCTCTTGTAATATCTTTAAAGTTGGCATATTATTTTCTGCTTCAGTACAAAGTTATCGTGTACTTTGGTCTGGACTTGGGGCACAGCTTGCTCGCGACGTCCCTTTTTCTGCAATTTGTTGGTCAACTCTTGAACCGGTATGATTCAATTCTATTTTTGTTAGATTCTAATCTGTTCATGAATTTCATTTGATTTAAGCATTATTCTCACAAGTATATTTGCAGGTAAGAAGGCGGCTTCTTAGTCCGCTGGGAGATGAAGCTAATGCTGTCGGTGTCCTAGGTGCAAACTTTTCTGCTGGTTTTGTTGCAGGAAGCATTGCTGCTGCTGCAACATGTCCCCTTGATGTTGCTAAGACTAGAAGACAGATTGAGGTGTTTATTTTTCATCCAAATCCTCATATATGGAATACTGATATTTAGATTTGTCCACTTGGCTCAAGCATCATTCAATCAATTAAAATCAACATTTTTCTTGTCTGTTATATAAATTAGGAAGTGATCCAGGAATCAATAGTCATAGACCCCGTAGTTTGAACGTCTTCTTAGTTATATCAATCACTTCGGCACCCTTAGCCTAGTGCTGTGTTCGTTGTGAGCCTTAAATCAAGGAAGTGAGTGGATGGTAGGATGTATACCGGGTTAGCATTTGGGATGAAAGTCTCATAATTGACGTCTTGAACTTCTGGTGAACCGTCGTTGTAGTTGTCATTTATCTCTTCTTTTTGATCTTTCTTCTGTGATCCAGGAATCAATAGTCATAGACCCCACAGTTAGAATGTCTGTTTAGTTATATCAATCACTTTGGCACCCTTAGCCTAGTGCTGTGTTCATTATGAGCCTCAAATCAAGGAAGTGAGTGGATGGTAGGATGTAATACCAGGTTCGCATTTGGGATGAAAGTCTCATAATTGACGTCTTGAACTTCTGGTGAACTGTCGTTGTAGTTGTCATTTATCTCTTTTTTTTACCTTCTGTTACACTAGAGTATAACCGATATAATTCTTTTTACAACCGTGCACACTATTTTTGCCCTGGGGTGATTGCAATTTGTCTTTAAAATTAAAGGGATTAGTATCCGAAATAAGCTTACGTTTGAGAGTGCTGTTTTTGTTTTGCACCAAGGATCCATAATGATAATTGACTTGTTTCTCCACATCTATTAGATCGTTTGCTTATCTACCTCTTTTTCTTTATTACAGATGGACCCTGCCAGGGCGTTGACAATGACGACAAGGCAAACTCTACTTGAAATTTGGAGGTACAGCTTTGAGAATATGCCCACTGAATTGTTCCCATGTAAAATAACATATAAGCTGCATATATTAAATCCATGATGATATTGCTGAACGTGCTATCAGAAAAGCTATTATGGCAGCAGATCGTTTGTTGTGCAGTAAACAAAACACTAAGGGAGTGTTGGTGTTTGGATTGGCTTCTTTTAAGTGACTTATAAGTTAAAAGTCAAAAGTCATAAGTTGGGTTTTGGCTTTTTTGGGTACTTTTTCAGCTTTTAAAAAAAAAATGCTTCAAGCACTTTTTGTGTTATCCAAACACTTCCAAAACCAAAAATTAGCTTAAAAGCCTAAAGTCACTAAAAATAACAAACTCCGGCTGAATGCTCCAGTCAGAAAGCATTTTGTTTATGCTTTAGTTTTTTTTTCACTGCAAAAATAGCTGATGGACCTTTATCCTTTTTTTTTTTGATGACCCCATGTCCTGATTAATCCATTTACCCCTCCAGTTTGACTTAGTACTTCTCCAGAGATCCACATTCGGTTGTGATGAGTCTTGTGAGTTCATAGGGTTGCACAATTTTTCTTAAATAGAGTGGCATGTGCATGTTTTTTTTCACTATTTTGTCTGGCTATGAAGTAGATTCTGAATGAAATCATGCTGACTGTTACAGGGATGGAGGGCTCAAGGGACTGTTTACTGGAGTAGGTCCTCGTGTTGGTCGTGCTGGCCCTTCAGTTGGAATTGTAGTTTCGTTTTATGAAGTTGTCAAATATATGTTACACCAACAATATGCTTCTTCATAGGGAGCATAGTGTCATGTCCCGCCACTATCCGAGCCAAATTTTGCAGCCAAGTAACTCTAAGTCCGTGACAATAGTCAGGTTAATTAGGTTTTTTCTTTCCAACCTCTTGGATCGGGCAATGGTCGCTGACATAACTGATTCGGGCCATGATTCTGACGCTGGAGCTCTAATGTGGATATGGTAGCACGCAAAGGAGCAGTTTTGACCATGGTAGATTACCCACACAGGTTAGCTTGTAGAAAATAATCCACTCTTCTTTTGCTTTCCAGCCAATTTTGGTTGGTTTTTCGGCAGAATTGTCTTTGGACTAAGAAGAGATTTTGATATACTTTGGTTGCATCAATGAGCAGTTTTTCCTGAGATGTTCTCAGTTATCATAAAAATGTTCAAGTTCTTTATTTCTTTTATTATTTGTCTGGGGATATCAAGCTAAAATATTGATGCTGAAAGATTTTTATTTTTCATTACCATAAAATATTGTCTTGATCTTCTTATGTTACATTGGTACATTTTATCAACTGGTGATGACTTAATTGGAAAGGAAAGAAAAAGAATTAATGTCAGGACAGAAACCAGAGCAGCAAGGAAATAGAAGTGTTATTTTTCTAGTTTATGTTGTTTGAGTGGAAAAGAAATAAAAACAAAGATTGTTCTACTATTTATACTCAATAAATTGAATTTTGTGGATGTACGAATATAATAAAATGAATTTTCCAAACAGTGGTTGGAACAAACATGCAAAACTTAACCACTTCGCCCAAACCATTTATCATACCTCTATTGAAACAAATTGTGTTCGTGTTCGTGTTCGTGTTCTTTCATCAAATGACAATCCTCTTCATTTGTTTCTCTTTTCAAATTCGATTTTAATTAATTCACAAAATTGTGTGAGAGCGGCAAATCAAAAGGTTCTATTAGAAAAGGGTGCATGGCAGATGATTTTAAAGCGGACTTTCCATTCATTAGGTAGAAAAGATCATCAAAATTTTTGTTTCATTGAATTTATTTCAATTCCAAAAGCTTGTTGTAGCATAATACTTAAATGTGCATGATGTTGTAGCATCCTCTTGTAGGTGGTAGACATACTGTTTGTCCCTATCCTACATGTTTTTACACCTACTAAGTTGAGGTCCCTGCCAAACTTCTCACCATACTGGTGACATAATTAATTCTTTTAAAAAATAATAATAAATGCATAAATAAATATACTCAAGAAGTAAAGGCATTAAAAGTAGGAAGAATGCAAAAATAAAACAAAAATGTATGTATATCTCTATACCAATTTTTTCTTTTTTATATATATACAAGAAAGGAAGGAAGGACAAGGGAAAATAAACCAGGCCGAAGGGTTTATCCGAACCCTCTTCTGCAGAAAATTACATTGTTTATACATAAATAATATTAATTTTGTATATATAATAGACGTTGAACTCTCTTCGATTTCTTCGTGTGTTTATTTCTTCATGAGCTTTTAATGAAATTTTTAGCTCAACCACCAATATTAATGAATGAAGTATGTTAGCACCAATGCCACCAGCATTAGGCCGTATGCAACTCCTTGGTCTATTTTTGTCCCTGCAACCATGAATGAAACCCAAACCAATATATATGAGATAAATAGATTATCTATCTGGATAGTCTCTTTTTAATTGCATCATTTTTATTGTTGTGATTCAAGAGAAAATAGTTTTTCTAACCAAACACCAAGGCATAGAAGTTTTCCATTTTTTTTTTTTGAAAAGACATTAGAATGCAAAATGACAACGTAACTTTGACTATAGAACAATGTTGGCATTTTGATTATGAATCTCGAGTCATCAAAGCCTTTCTGACTTGTTAACCTATTAAAATTTCATGTGATTAACACTTTAAAAGGCGAAACACTTGTCTCATAGGCTTTAAAAATCTTTTCCCCCTAGATGTTTGATTTCCTTGGTATTTGGTTAAAAACAATTCTTATGAAAAAACCTCCTCTTTTTTTTTCTCGAAAAACTATTTATCCAAAATTTTAAGCAATAATAGAAAGGAAATTAAATAAAAGTGTACCGTCATTGGTGGGAACAGGAGCTAGGCTAGGAGAAACATTATCATAGGCCATTGTAGAAGGGGAAATTGTTGCCTTTTTTACCTCCATTTTTTTATTCCTTGATTCTGCTCTCCGCTTTATGAAAAAATTATTTTCTCACTCCGATGTCTCGAAGAGAGGAATCGTGAGAGAGAACAAATTAAAACAAGGAGTAAACAACGATTTTTTTTCATGAGTTATATCGAGTTCAATCGAAAGGATGTTATAAAATAAATAATATGCATGGGAAGATCACAAAGTTCTACAAAGGCTACGTGCCTCCGCAACTATCGAAGCAATCTCCATTTAATTTTAGCCATTGCTTTCTCCACTAATGTATTCATTTTTATTTATCCAAAAATAAAAGTATTATTTTACTTTTCCACTTGACAAAAATCAAGATTCAATTATTTATTTCTTGTAATGTTAGGCTATGCATTATAAGACTAAACATTCTAATCAGAATTCAACCACCAAGAATCACATATCCATATCTTCCAAGTTACCTTCATGATCTAATAATGCTAGCAAGCATGCTCCTCTCCAAAGAACATCCAACAGCTGCTATATTTCAGCACATCTTTCATTGGTCGAGGCAAGCTTAAACCGGTGACATGGTCAGTGAGGATCCAAGTAACCCACCCAACTTTCTCGGGATTAAGGCTCAAAAGTTGTAATAGTTAATTCTTGATAGCAAAAGCACCTACAATTTAGGTTGTATATACAGAGGGACTGACTATACACATACTAAGATGTAATGTATATCAAGGTTAGGAAGAGTGATTTTGGACCATCATTTTGGGCAAAAGGAAACAAACCATACATACTATATATGTCAAGGAGCTGAGAAAAAAGGATCCTCTTTGTTTTTGTAAATAGAAAACAGCTGCTTAGAGTATCTTGTCGCCAAAGTTGTGCACAGTTCAATACCCTTGGGATCATAAGCTTGCAATTCCTTCACCGACTTCATCATATCACCTTGCGGATCTCCATCAGTAAGAAATTCAGCCAAGGTGCTTCCCCTGTAATGTGGCAGTAAATTAATGAAATCAGCACCCAAACATACACAAATTTCAGATTCAGCATTGTTTTGATGCAAGTGAAAGACTCGGATCAATGCTCAAATGCCTTTCTGGTTAAAAGAATAACTTTTAGATGTTTCAAACGAATGCTTAGCATTAAATACTTCCATATTTTACAGATTTGCTGCCTTTGTTGCAGTCATCCTTTTCGCAGAGAAAACATCAATCCCACGTTTCCCTGGCACTAACGTATATAATTTGTCCCAGCAATAATTTCCTTCTCTTATACACTATGAACTCTATTGGAAGAAGCCGAGCAAACCCTCTGAATTTACATGATTCTTTTCTATGTCTTACAGAAATGTCAAACCAAGTGATAAATACATAATGAAACATCAACCATTAAAGAATGATCTCTACATGACATTTAACAAATTACATCAGAAATAACCATCACATCTTAGACAAGCCTGTATCAGTCTTGGAATCCCAATCATAGGTAATAGATTGTTTTGATCTTATGTGAGACTCACTGGAGTATTTAGTCAAGGTCATAGGTGGTCCTCGAGTACTCAAATTTATCTGTAAATTGACTTCACAAGCCTATCCTACACTTACGTTACAGAGTCCAAATATGTCATTCAAGCGATTACCTACAGCTTGAAATTATGCGAATAACCAGCATCAAATTTTTGAACAAGATAAACCTCATGATCAAACTCGACTTCCTTTTGAGAATGCAAAGATCAAGACCTTTCTCTTGGATTATCTTCAGATCTTAAAATTTTCTACTTAACAAGTGGTTGGAAAGCCAAGGATCACGACCTTAATGCCTTCAATAGTGCAGAAGTGCTCTTCTTCTTGGGACTTAATTCACTTGTTCCCCATAGTTCAAGGACCTACACTTGGGATTTCTGAATTGCTTGCAGATTTCAAATAGTGTAAAATCTACTACAACAACAACTCTACTACGCCTCAATCCCAACCAAGTTAGAGTTGGCTAAATGAATTCTCTCTCTCTATCTCAGTTTAGGCTAAACCCATTTCATCATCACTCCAAATAAAGTAAAAGTGAAAATAAGTTAACTATATGTAAACAAACAACAACAACATACCTAGTGTAATTCCACAAGTGGGGTCTGGGAAGGGTAAATTTAATAATGATAATATTGGAAGTCCTCTAACAAGACTAAAACCTAATCCCAACTAGTAGATCACATTCATATGGATCTTTTTCCTCCTTTGTCCCATGTCTTTAGCTAAGTTTGCATTGATTCCAAGAAATTGTAGGTCTTTCGAGACAACTTTCTTCCATAGTAAGTTCACGCTCTATCACTCTTTCCCCGAATTTCAAAATCAAATAAAAATGGGAGTTCGACAGATGAGGCCTTCTGTCATACAGTCATACGATGAAATGTGTCTATATCACAGATTCACGGGTCACCCAAAATGCAGTCCAGCACCAAAGGTATCAAGGAATTACGACCAAAGTGTATCATGCTTAACAACTCAATTTACGAGAGGAGGAGATTATTCATCCTTAAATTCAATAATAAGTCAATGTTCTTTTTAAACTAAAGTATTCCAGATATATAAGACATCCAAATTGTACCCGACTACCCGGTACCTGTGATGGTAGATGGTAGGAGGTAACATATACATTGTGGAATTAGTCGAGGCACACAAGCTGGCCCAAACATCATGGTTATAATTTTTTTTGTAAGAGATGGAAAATTACTAACATTGACAAAAAAGTTTATGCCAACACATTTTTAATCATGCGTTTTTTATCTCATGTAGGCTATGAGCTTGGAGAAGTTACAACAAACAAAGAGTTAACGCCATAGTGGAGATAGTAGAACTAGCCATGTAGAGCTAAAATAAGTTTCCGTTCATCCAGACCAACACCACTTAAGGACTGTAATGTGCATGATTTTTGCAATATACAGATTATGTAGTATTCACATCTCATTCAAGCACATACCTGAAGGCATCACAGTGGCTAAAACCTCTTTGATTGTGAACTATTGTTCCTTTACTACATTGCTCCTCAGATGTTTGCTGCCTATACAAAACACAAACGGCCTTCATACATAATTCAGGATCCTTACCAAAGGCAGCAAGCATGTCCCCCTCAAACTCCCACTCTAATTTATCACCTTTGTTCCTTCGAATTCTCGATATTATCTCACCATAATCTGAATCACTCTCTGATACATACTCTGAATCAGTTATCGAATCTTCAGCTACAGAAGAATTACTTTGCAATGCACCATCAGAGTTAGAGATGTCAGAGCTGCTAACTATAAATCCACCTAAGCTTTCTCCTTCACTGTCTGACACTTCTTCTATGTCATTGCCACCACCACTTTTCCCTGCACATTGACTTAGCTTCACTAGGCGCCGTCTACGGGACAAATTCCTGACTTCATCCTCGGAATCACCGGTTTGAGTTGAGTTGCCTCTGGGATGATCATCAGAGTTCTTTTCACGAAAATGCCTAGTTTTGAGCATGGAGATTGGAACTTTATCATCATCATCACTGTCACTATCACTAGCAATTATGTTTGAAGCTCTTCTTCTTTTTGGAGTTGGAACATATAAAGCCTCCTCATCATGGCAAACCATGTCACTGTCTTCACCTTGCTCAATGACTGTCATCTTTGAATCATTCTTTGAAGGCAATTCAGCATTGGACAAGGTGCTCCCTGATCCATAGAAAGGTACACTACAAACAATTCCTGGCACGGGAGGTGTACCGAGGGGCACAGAAGTTTCATAGTCACTTCCCATTATTGATGTATAAGGAGGACCAGTAGTTCTTTCATCATCACTTTCAGTTATGTCAATAACAACAACTTTTGCAGGACTTTCACCAGCTGGTGTAGAAGGAGCCATCCTCTTGTTAGACCCCCTTTCTTCTTCAAATGTCAATCGCTTCCTCACTTTGTTAACACAGTTATTGCCACTTTCAGATAGTAAAGCTTTGTTTTCTCTCACAAACTTGGCTTGTAAGATTGGAGTTTTTGCTAAAGACTTTCCTGTCCATCAAAAGCAATAAGTAAAAGAATTCTTTCTAAAGCAAAATATCTATATTACTATGAAGGTCCTAAAAGATGTTGATTGATAAAATTTTGCTAAAGACAGAGTCTTCCGTAAACAAAATCATCTTTTTACTATTTTTCTCAAATTATTATTTCATCATCTTTATAATATTGAATATTGACTATATAATAAATATATGAAAAGGTTGTATATGTGAAGGAATCCTAAAATAGTTGGGAAGACTCCTAAGTATATGGAAAGTTTTGCTTGTGTACGTGGGAAGACTCGTAACTACGTATATGGAAAAAAAAAATGAAGGTTTTCTAATGGCCTCCTAAAATATATGGGAAAAGAACTATTAAAATATATACTTTGAAATTTATTAAAGCTATAACTATTACATTTTACTTATTTGTAATAGGTAAGAACTCCCCATACTCATTAGTCATTACTTTAAAATTGACTCAAATTTTGTTCTTTAAATCTTTTCTTATTTGAACTATATTAAAAGTCCTAACCGTTAACTTTAAAATCAATATTTTAACCTTATACCTAATATTTAATTATGATAAACAAAATAAATAAATAAAATAATACAAATATTAAAATTTAAAGAAAGAGGTTCACATCATTTTAAATATATTTTTTAGTAACTAGTATTAGGTGAGATATACATGTGTATACTATAACTAGTATCCAAAACTTCAAACGAATGCCATCGTACCAACACTAACACAACTTTTATATATAAAAAAAATCCGAAACTTCAAACTCCTAACATGATTTCTACAACTTGTCAACAATAATTGGTTAGAAAAAATGATAGTACCTGAATCTTGAGATAGTAGAGATCCAATTTCTCCATGAGAGGAAAAAGGATTTGCATCTAAACCATCCTTGTTTTGCATTTCATCAACTACTTGCAGATGGATTTTCTGGGTTAAATTATCACATTCATCTTGCAGCCCCTTTACTTGATGTAGTCTAGTTGAAGTTGTATCTCCTTCTTTTGCATCCAACTTTTTTCCCAATTCAGCCACTGTCAACTGTAGCTCGTTACACTTGGATTTCCAATACTCAACATCACTTTCAGCCTTCTTTTTCTCGCATTCCAATACACTGTTCTCGATCATCAATTGCAAAACCCTCTCTTCCTCCTCATTACTGCCGTTACTCTCTATTCGACGAATCTGCTCTTCCAACTCTTGATTCCTTCTCTTCAACACCTCAATCTTACCTTCAAGCAATTTAAACTCATTTCTCTCCTGTTCAATCCCCTGCCGCAAATCGGAACAATTACATTCGATTGTCTTGATCTTTTCTTCCAGATTTAAACACTGATTGCAATTATAACCCGATTCACTTTTCAAACCACTCATACAACTTGTAGTATCTCCACTTCCTCCTACTATTACCCCCATGTCAACCCTCAAAGATTCATTACTACAGTCCATGTTTCATATTCTCCCAACATAAGCAACTATTTCAATATACAATTGTTTCAAAGAGAAACTGAAAACTCCACAGTTGTTTAAACCCTAATATTAAAGAAAGCGAAATCTATCGATACTTCGAGACAACCTTCAATGGCGTTTTTGAAAGAAAAAAAAAAAACTTACGAAATCTGAAGCATTTTCGAGCAACTCTCAAAAGGGTCGCGGGAACAAATTTTCGCCCTTGGCATCCGTTATGTTATTCGGGTTTATTCATTGTCGGTTCAATTTTTGTAAATAGAAAACGATTTCAATTTATACGGGCCCATATTGATTTCTGCATGTATTAGCTAAGACCCAAGCCCAAGTAGATCCAGATAACAGGCCCAATTATGTATTCCTCTTAGATACTTCATAGACTTGGCCTGTTTGGCACTTCTGCTGGATTTCATTGGATACAAGCAATTCCCAAAATAAAGAAATTTCATAAGTTTAGGAGCGAATTACTTAAGTATACTTTAGTTTACAATATTATGAATTTTATTAGATTTTGGTGTGTTCAGATACGTCTAGATACATGTATTTTGGGATATATGTGGTCAAAATTAGTTGTGATTTATTGTATCAAAGTGGATTTACATGTATCTGCGATACATACACAAATCTTCCTCCCATCTCGCTCACCACTCTCCTATGTAGATGATATCCTAAATACATGCGAACTGTAACGTGTATCTAGTGTGACTCGCATGTATCTGGGATAAATGACTATCTCCCTCGCCTCTTTCCCTATTTTAGTGTATCTGGTAGCAAAACTACATATATCTAAATGTATTTTCCTCAATATATGATAGAAAACTCTTAATTAATGGTAAAATACATAATTATTTGAAAGTATATATAGAGTTAATAGATATGGTAAGAACGTATGTCTAATAAGATAGTTTTTCCTTTTTTTTTTAAACTACGTAATCAAACAAACATTTTCTTCTTATCTATTAAATTTCAAATTCGATTTATTTTTGATGAAAAAAAGAATCAAAATTGGTCCTAAGTTGTATCATTTTTCAACCGTCCGTGTATAAATCGGGTCTAGCACTTTTATGTCTTCATCGTGCGACACTATTAAAGAGAAAAAGAATTCTACCTCGCTAGTCTTTTCAATTTCACCTCTTCTCTTTTGTTGATCTTATACTGATCTATTAGACTAGATCGAAATGGTGCCAAGAAAAATAATTTAATCTATATTGTAGTACAAACAAAATAAAGATTAAGCTATTAACTATTCGTTTTGTTGCAATTTCCACTTCGTATCCCTTATGGGAAAATTAGCTAACTAGTCAAAATTATTAACATAATTATTAAAAACAGCTATACTTTAAAATAATTATTAAAAATGTCAAAATGTCAATATTTTAACAAATAAAGTGTATCCTAATATAGTTCATTTATCTTCCTTTTATTTCTCAAATTGGGCCCATGAAGACTCCATTACCCACTTTTCAGTCTCTAAATTTTTTACCCAAATTCTATCATTTCTCTTTCTTAAGATTTCTTTCATTATTCTATATCCTCAAGTAACTTAAACCTTGCCTTTTTAAAATCAAAATCCTCCATTTTTTTAAGAAATCTTAGAAATTATTCAAAAGATTTTCAACCTTTGTCGAAGTATTGAGATACAAAAATATTTTGTATGCTTTGTATGTTGGATCTGGATCTGGAAGAATTACCAGGTGAAGAAGTGCCATTTTTTAAGTGCCAATATTAGGATAAATCGTTCAAACGTATTGAATTGGATCTGAAAGAAGTGTCGGGTGAAGAAGTGTCATTTTCGAATGTCAATATTTGGGAAGTTTATGAAATTGTTGAATATTAAAGTGATGAAAAATAACTTTATGGCATGTTGCATTTTGTATCTAAACTATCAAATTGTATTCTTTACTGTTTTTATTGTCTGTTGCATTTTGTATTCATTACAAAATTCATGTGGTATCTTGCTAAAAATTTGAGTTTTTTAGGTGTAACTTGTATTTATTTTGTAGGTGGTATTCATTTCAAATTATGTATATGTTTAATTTTGTATTATATTTATAGGACAATAGATAAATAGTTTTACAGAATTTTGTATGCTATTCTAAATTAGGCTTCCTACAATTTTGTATTATTTTTTTTGTATTCATTCTAACTATATGCCAACAAGTTTGGTATTTTTTTTGTGCTCACTTTGTATTTCAATATCATTTTGTATTTCAATCTCACTTTGTATGCCAACAAATTTTGTATTTCTTTTTTATTTTGTATTAATTCTAAATGTATGCTAACAAGTTTTAAATTTTTTGTGCTCACTTTGTATTTCAATATCATTTTGTATTTCAATCTCACTTTGTATGGCAAGTTTTGTATTTCTTTTTTATTTTGTATTAATTCTAAATGTATGCTAACAAGTTTTAAATTTTTTGTGCTCACTTTGTATTTCAATCTCACTTTGTATGCCAACAAATTTTGTATTTCTTTTTTTATTATTATTTTGTATTCATTCTAAAATTTTCTTCACTGCCAGCAAAAATCTTAAATCAATCGACTTCAATTCGACATGAATTGAGTATTTTTAATGGAGTGTTAAAAAAATAATATTGAAAATTTGTGAAATAAGGAAGAGAGAAGCCATGTCGATTGTGGAACCAAACACGTATAATAGGAAAGAGATTTTTCAAAATTTAATCCCAAAAGTAAAATATGAAAAGAGCGTAAGAGTAGTGAAAAAAAAACTAGGCCTACTTAAAGTTAAACCAAAATTATGATTAGTAATTATGGTAACTTTGTTGGTTTAAATTTAAAAATTGCCTTATTTGAAATCCTTTTGATATCTTTCATCCTAAATAGCAGTAGATTCCTTAATATTTGTTTAAGGTTTGGCCGAGTTTGGAACGATCAATGGCATATACATAATTAAGTTATTGTAAAACAGTAAATTCTCTATAAAGGATAAATTCCTTTTTAAAAATGTTCTCTCCCCTAAATTTCTCCATTCTGTTTTTAAACAATTGTATTTTTTTAATAAAAATAAATAATAAAAACATAAATCAGATACATAACAAACTAAAATTTTGACATTTTTAATAAATATTGAAAGTGTGGCTAAGAGATTCTTTTAAATACTAAAATATTGACATTTTGAAAATTTTCCCTTAATTTATTCTGAGCCATTCGGTATTGAATATTGTTTTATTTTATATTTTATCAAATAAAAAGGAGACCAGCTGCTTTCGTTTTTGTTTTTTCCAAGCAAATCCATAACTTTCAAAAATTGTGTTAGGGGTATTGTAATTGATATAATTTTGTTTTTTTCTGTTGAATATTGTATATTATTATTATATAGCAAAATACGTGATAACACCAACCAATTATTTGAAATGTCTTTGGGATTGATTTTTTGAACAGATAAATTAAATGATATAACTGTATTATTGTTTCATGCATATATAGTGTAAGTTTGGCTTATCTAGCCACCAGACATACAATTGAGTAGTATATATCTGTCATAAAAATTAAATTTCATGCAAAATAATAAACGTCTACTCACGTCACGTAACACTCAATTGGTTTCCCATATCCCTGCACAAAACAATAAGAGATTAATGCCATTTCCTACTCTCTATTTTTTTTTTCTTTTCTATAATTTATAAATTTGAATAAAAGTAAGATTCTGAGAGAAATAAAATCATTAATTTGCTAATATTAGTAGCAGGGAGAAGTCACAATCAAATGTGGTCCGTCACAGCCTACTTTGATGACATTAGAGAATTCATGCATCTTTTTTTGGGACCATATAGTAATATATATATTTGAAACACTTAAATAACGCAATACACAAAATTTCTAATTTATTCAAACTTGGAAAAAAAAGAGTGTAAAGTTGTTATATATATATATTGGACCACATGCATTGCTTTATATGTATGTATGTAATTGGATTGTCATACAATTACAAATAAGTTTAGGGATAAGGGTCTGAAAAATATCCCAACTTTGGTCGGATTTGCTGTTGCGATAATACTAAACTTTCATAAGAATCCATTACCTCCCTAAACTATTTAATATCGTATTTTTTACCCCCTAAACTATTTAATAGTGTATTTTAAAGGTATATATGTTCCCACAGACACATTACTATTAATAATTTTGCATTTCAAATAACCATTTCTGAGCTTTCATGCACGATGTGGATATATATAATATATGTCTGCACTTCTACTTGATAAATCTTTAGTAGTAATATAAAATAATCAACTCATTTTATCATTGACCACTTCTTGGATTTTTCGTCTAATAAAAAGATGCATCGAGTGCCAAATTGTAATCATCTTCTCTTATATGTCAAAATTAATCTGTAAAAATATTATCTGTCCAAATTCAACGTCTCAAATGTAACCAACTATTTTAACCCTTACCTATATCTACCTTGTCCTTGCTTCATATAATTATATTATAATTCAACTTTCTCTCTCCGGTGACTAAGTTAAGAATTTTGTTATGAATGTTAAAACTACAGTATATATTTCTAAAAAAAATGTTTTGATATATATACACAATATTATATTTTTATACACACAATTGTTCGATTGAGTGACCACCGTTGGGTCAATGTAGTCTCTCTCTCGTTTGATGAGGAGGGCCTCAACCAACTTAGTCTTCACATCTCTTTTACTAGTGTATACATGGATGTGTACCTTTTAGCAGTTTTTTCAAAAATATACGTACTATTATAGACTATAGTATTATATACTGATCTTAACGTCTATATATATATTGAGATAAGTTTCAAAAACACACCTAAACTATGCCCTTTTTTTGAGTTTCATACCTAAACTATTGAGAGTGTGAGTTTCATATCTAAACTATCACTTCTTATTTTGAGAAACACACCTCTCTCTTTTATACTACTCTCATCATGGTGTGTGTAATACTCTCTCTCTTTTATTTTAAAAAATTGTTGCATCACACTCCACATGGACAAAACATTCAACTTTGACAAAAATTAAATAAATTATTACTATTAATTAAAATTTAAAATTTAAAAATTATTATCCAAAAAAATAATATTTCTTTTATAAAATAAAATGTAAAATATTTTTCTTACCCCACTCCATCACTTCTTCTCACCCCCCACCTAACCTAATTCGTCGTTTGTTACATCCCATATTTTAGTCCTTTAATTGTGGAATTAAGTTACAGCATTCAATTCAAATTAATTAAATAATGTATC